GTATAAAATACCAGCATGTGTATTTCGTAGTTTTGCTATAGGTATCGATTCGAACAGTGAGGATGATTATGCTACGGGTAACGGATATTTTGATACCTTAACAAATAAGATATACGGCTACATATATGATTATTTTATGGATTCAGACACTGGTGATATTGATGATACTATTACTACAGTTGGCAGTGATGATTATGATATAGGTGATGATAATGATTATGATATAGATAACGAATATCAGAATAATTCATTTAACGACAATGATGACGATATTGCTGTTACTGGTGATGCTACTGCTACTACCACTACTATTATATCTGATAATGACTATTATATAGATAACGGATATCAGAATAATTCATTTAACGACAATGATGATAATATTGCTGTTACTGGTGATGCTACTACCACTACTATTACTATTATATCTTTTTATTTTATATCATTTTATTTTGTGATGTTTTGATAGAATTTATTTGTTTCCTTAAACGTGAAGAAGGAATATTATCATTTAGAGGTATACAGATTATTTAGGATTGTGTAATATACATATATACACATACACATACACATACACACACATATATATATATATATATATATATATATATATATATATATATATATATATATATATATATATATATATATATATATATATATATATATATATACATGTATATATAAATTTATAATTACAACATATTCAAAGAGATATGTATATAAAATATGTATGAGGTTACTAATGCTGGGAGAAGAAAAATAATAACTATAATACATTATATAACATAGAAAAACATTTTAAGCGGTAGTGTGTTTTGTTTGTAAAATAAACATGTCTTCTCGTCGTTATATGTATATACTGCTACTATTATTTTTCTGGCAAAATCAGTCAGTGATTGCCATAGATGGTGATGATGATTATGATTACTACTATGATGATGATAAAACACATAGTAATATTTCTACTACCTTAAAAGTAGTAGTAAACCTGATGACGCAAGAGTCATTAACATTACCATTTACGGTCAGATCATCTTCAGTTAATGAATTTGTATTTGCGTGCGGTAGATGTTCATCAGCGACAAATAAGAATGATTATAGTATGATTGTTCTCAAAAAAGATAACGATGTATTTAACTCCATAGTGAATACTGAGGGTTTTTGTATGATGTCCGAAATAGAAAAGCCTTCCATAAATACCACCACCGGATCTATAAATATTAAATGGACAAAAAAGTACCTGAATAATGCAACATCTAAAATGGTGCGAGACATATATGTTTTATACAAGATATCCAACGAGGATGAAACGACATTCAATGAGGATGAAGCGACACGCGTGTACATTCTGTACATTGATAATATGATTTTGTACCGCTCTACCAATGATAATGTTGACCCGCATAAATTACTTAACGACTTATTAAAAGAGGTTAATAAGACAATATGTGTATTTCGTAGCAATGGAGATTACTATGTTACGGATAATAAATATCAGAAAAAAACTTTTAATGATTTGGACAGTGATGATACCATCGGTGATGATTATATTGACGATGATGATACTACTACTAGTAATATGACTATTACTATGGATGGTAACGGTGATGATGAGTATGACTACGATATAGGTAATGGTAATCGTGATGTTACTACTGCTGCTGAAGATGATATTACTGATGAGGATAATGTTAATGATAATATTGTTACTACAACAGTTAATATAGGTAGCGGGTATCAGAAAAGATCTTTTAACAATTCGGACCGTGATGATGATGCTGATGATACTGATGATACTATTAGTGATGATTATTTGATGATATACTATGATGCTAATGGTGATGATGATTATTATGACTACAATATAGGTAACGGGTATCAGGAAAATTCTTTTAACGATTTTTTGGACAGTGAGAATGCTGATGATGAAAATTTGGACAGTGCTGCTACTACTCCAACTATTGATAATAGTGATTTAATCGATCAGGATAGTGATGACGTTAATACTGATAATGATGATACTGCTATTTCTACTACAAATATTACTGCTGATAATAGTGGTTTAATCGATTTGGACAAGGATGATGATGCTGTTAGTAATGTTAATATTACTGTTGCTACTGATATTGTTACTACTACTGATAATAGTGATTTAATCGATTCGGACAATGATAATGATGTTAGTAATGTAAATATTACCACCACTATTACTACTGATATTGCTACTACTACTGATAATAGTGAATTAATCGATGATAATGTTAATATTATCACTACTACTGATAATAGTGATTTAATCGAATCGGACAATGATAATGATGATGTTAGTAATGTAAATATTACCACCACTATTACTACATATTGCTACTACTACTGATAATAGTGGATAATGTTAATATTATCACTACTACTAATAGTGATTAATCGATTCGGACAATGATAATGATGATGTTAGTAATGTTAATATTACCACTATTTACTACTGCTACTACTGATAATAGTGATTTAATCGATTCGGAATGATAATGATGCTGATGTTAGTAATGTTAATATTACCACTGCTATTACTACTACTACTACTGATAATAGTGAATTAATTGATGATAATGTTAATATTATCACTACTACTGATAATATTTAATCGATTCGGACAATGATAATGATGCTGATGTTAGTAATGTTAATATTACCACTGCTTACTACTACTACTGATAATAGTGAATTAATTGATGATAATGTTAATATTATCACTACTACTGATAATAGTGGTTTAATCGATTCGGACAATGATAATGATGATGATGTTAGTAACATTAATATTACCACCACTATTACTACTACTGATATTGCTACCACTGATAATAGTGATTTAATCGATGATAATGTTAATATTACCACTACTACTGTTGCTACTACTGATAATAGGGGTTTAATCGATTTGGACAATGATGATGATAAAGTTAGTAATATGGACAGGGAGGACGATTCTAATATTTCTAATGCATCGTTTGGGATCGTTACCAAAAACTTTCTTACCATTAGTGTTGTTATTAATGTGTTTGTAATATTTTTTTCTTATAGTTGTTTTAATTAAATAAACCACCAAGACTTTTATAACTGGAGGATGGTAAATATGAAACCCGAATATAATATGTGTAATATTGTGGTGGTAGGGTATTGAATCAAACATGCTCTCTCATCGTACATCTATATGGTGTTATTATCATCATTATCTTTTTGCTGGCATTATCGACTAGCCATTGCTGTTGTTGATGACAATGATGATTTTTCATCGTCGTTATTGTCACCGTTTATGGTCACTTTATCATCGAATGATGAGTTTAGCTTCATGTGTGGTACATGCTCATCATCAACAACGAATAATAAAATATATCTCAAGAATAATAATTCTTGGTATAAATCTGATAGTATTTAATAATGGTTTATGTATGGTGTTGTATATGTACGACACAAAAATTGGCACATAACTGAGTGATAAACATTAAATGGATAAGAATATGGATATATCTTATAGTATATCCAATGAACCAACAATTGCATATATTTTAGATATTGATAGTATGTCTTTGGAATATTTATATTTCATTAAAATTGATCTAGAAACACTATTTGATATTTTATTCTTGTTGTATGATTATAAAATGGACGTCGCTAAATGTATATTTCGTAGCTATGACTTGGACAACTTGAACAGTCAGTGATGACATACCGATAAATAGATTGGACATATCTGTTCCCATCCCGAGAATTCGTGTGTTCATGTATGGTTATATGTTCTAGTTGGCACTGTGGACTTTTGATTACTTGGTACATTAATAAAGTCTGACCAATAGACTTGTGTTTATCTGTCCTTTATAAACAAAAGAAATATTTGTAAAATCGATGGAACCAATCTCTATGCAAGATTTTATAGATACTATTAAAATAATAATTGTAAATAATTTTTATTTTGTACATATTAATTTATTAGATTTTGTTCACAAATACCGTTCATTAACAAGTAATGGATAATATATCGATAATTGTCCTAATAGGACTTGCCATTATTTTTTTATTAATCATATTTCATATTTTAGGAAACCATTATATTTTAAGCCACAGTATTGGTAGTAATTACACTTTGCATAACTTTAGCAATAAAGTGAACTATGCTTTGAATAATATAAGTAAGAACAATGATATAATTGATAAATTATACAAATCAATAAACGAAATGTGGAAATCTTACAATGTAGAAAAAACTATCTCTACTGTATTACATTCGGATAATACTGGAAACGTCGTTACAACACGTTAAACAAAGTTATCAAATAAGAGATTATGTATTCGAAGTTTGGAATATCTCGTCAACAGAGCGAACGAGTACAAGTCCACTATATATAAAACCACTAGACAGGGATAAGATTGAATCGATTGTGAATAACAGTGAACCAAGGGAATTGCTTAATCTTGATGATTTACCACAATCAAATGTTTATGTAATAATGAAAATTGAAAACATATACAATATTCTTAATACACCAGTCCCTTCACACCCCATATCTTCCACTCAGCCCCTCTCCATACCCAATACTCTCCTCCCAGCACAAGATGATAATAGTGACTATGATGAATATCTCATAGAATTAACAGTTGACTACAATATATCTATTGGAAAAGAGTGGACCATGTTTATTGTGTCTGCTCAAAGTTCCTCTAGAGATGCAACAATCAACTCTATGCAATTTACCTTAAGTGATAAAAGAATATATTTGAAAGGTAAGGGTCAAAATGCATTCTTTGTAAATGTGCGACAAAATAAAAAAGCGACCAAAACCTTAGAAGGTGATTGGAAGCTAAATATACGATTTGAAGAAATGAAGATACAACCAATTTAAGCTTGTATATGAAAATGGTGGTTTAGAATTCCGCCCTAATATTGTTGTATTCTTAACAATTATATTGATAAGCATATATAATTAAACTCCATTAACAGTTTATACCGGTTGGAGTCGTTTCTGAATATAGAGGTTTAATAAAATATGATGTAAAAATAAAAATCTTACTTTAGATATCCTTATACATTGTGTGTTTTTTTTAACATCAGGTTATAGTCGATCATTAACTTGATGCGGAATCTTCTTTACTTACAGTTACCATATGGGTGATAATCTTATTCATGCCTTGCATATCTGCTTGGAATATTTCTCTTTCATACCTATTGATTATTGATTGTGTTCCTAAATTGTCACAAATTGCTTTGGGTGCCTGTTCATGCCTACTATTATTATAGATGGAAAGATCTTCCAATGCCTTAATTCTCCAAGACCTCATTACACTCTCTCATACTTTCATATATTATATCGCGATCTTCCATCTGTTCCACAATATTATCATTATCGCCACCGAAATAGAATTCGGTATCGTCGTAGGAATACATAATAACATTAACAAAGCATTGAACATCATAAGTTATAATTATACTATTTTGGAGAGGAAGGGTTTCATTCTCGACTCAATCCTAATTATCAAAGTGAATAACTTATACATAGAGTGGTTTATTGGATATGCAACGTATTTAGAATAACAGACAAAAATTGTAAGAGGTAAAAATAATAGGTCCGAATTTTTACCAGCACCTAAGGTTGGGTTAGGTTAGGTTAGGTTAGGTTAGGTTAGGTTAGGTTAGGTTAGGTTAGGTTAGGTTAGGTGTACAGTAAAATTTGGACTTTTGATTTATTGCAAAAAACAGACCTTAACAAAAATTGGACTTTGATTAGTAAATAGATACCTGAACATTTTTTTAGGAATTGATTCTAAAATATAATTATTCTCCAATTACTCGATATTGCTATCAAAGTATCTTGATTGCTTTTGTTATTCATCATCCCTCACTTGCTCAATAAATATATCTGTTATCCAATCACCTTCGGTACCTTGTCTCAGTACTCTGTTCTGTCGAATATTCAATAATAATGTTTTAAATATTTCATTCTTATCTAAATATACTACCTCCTTATCTAAAGCGAATTTCATTGACTTTTTTCTTCCATCTCTGGATAAAGGCTGAGCAGATACAAGCGACACAGCCATCCTGTTATTACTATTATGCACGCTACTCGTAACAGGCTCTATGTAATAAATGAACATCTCAACTATATATTCATCATAATCACGATTATCTATGATGTATATATATATATATATATATATATATATATATATATATATATATATATATATATATTACCAATTGTTAATACTACAAAAGCGTCAATAGGATTAACACTTTTTATCTGTTCTGTGATAAAAGAAAGAGGATTCTGAGGATATCTTTCAAGTGTAACTCTATTCGCGATTTTATCAACATCGATATTTACTATGGTATGTATCTTATGTGCCTTTAGTGGTGATGAGCAGCTGTTAATAAAGAAATTACTATTTTGTTTTTTCTTACTGTGGGATATTCGCGATGGTCTTTCTCGAACGACATTCCAGTGTGGTCAGTCCTTAATATAACGGAGGTTGATTGTAGATATCATTATCGATGATATTATCCATCGACAGCTTAGATTCAATATTGTTTAGTTTACCCAACATCATAGTCAGTTTCTTTTTCATGGCGCTCGTGACATCATGGTTTACTAAAATATGTGCTATGACAAGAATATATATGCTAGCGAGTCCTACTAAAACAAATATCGATATGGGATCCATTTACCTGTTGAATAATATAAAGTAATAAAAAGATAATAAAAATATTTACAATTTTAGAGTAACATTTTTTTTTTAATAGTTCCTATAAATCCCTGCACGAGTTCTACTAGAACAAATATCGCTATAGTATCCATTATTTGATAACATACGATAGATAAGAGGAATAATCATAATAATGAAAATTAAAATGAAAAGTCTGATAATATACGATGAATAAGAATAATAAAAAGAAATTAAAATAATTGAGGAGATCTATAAAAAAGGGGATAATCTTGTCAAACAATAAAGACGATGAGGAGAAATGATACATTATTACCATAAAAATGTCAATGTCGTCTCACGAGTCGTATTTAAAAAGAAAGTTAGAAAACGAAAGATAAGATGATTCGTTTTCTATCTGTTAACATTTCTATTGCACTATCATATTTGGATGGCGAAAAATTCAAATCAAAGAGAAAAGAGATAATTACACTGGTTCCTGCAGACGAATATCAGTACTGGAAAGAAGAAGAAGAGGAGAATCCACACAATATTCAAATTGGCCTAGATAAAATAATTTGTATATACCATTTTACAAATCCAAATAAGAATAAGAAGGATTTTCATATCCTTTTAAAGTTACAGTGCAAGTCTTGTCCTTTATATGGAGGTTATCTATTTCCAGGATGATATAAAGAAAAGTTGTATATATTTTACCTTTCATAGACAACGCTTCATCGACACTGCAATGTTATATTCATCTTCCTTTAACTTTAATAAACATTATATGATGTTACTGTTATTCTGTCTAAATAGAATAGATACATATCTCGGTGCACAGGATACAAATGTTATCACCAACAACAATGATAGTGACAACGAATATATACGTAAAAGGTTAGAGAAAAAAAGAAAAAACATCTATTTTATGGTATAATATGTTATGAACGAAATGATTGGAATTTCTTGTTGAATGGTAATTATTTTGTTAAACCCCTACAATTATAAGTATACATATATATGTAATTGACTTATATAGCTTATAGTTCATTATGTCATATATCATTCATTATAAATTATATATCAATTTGATATAATAAGATAATATAATACCATATATAAATATATGAATTATAGATTGACAGTCGTTGCTTTCCTCTCTGTTTCATTTCACGCTTTCTCTTGATATCTTGGTATATATTCCGTGTTTGATATATATATATATATATATATATATATATATATATATATATATATATATACATTATTATCATATGATTATATATATTAATAATTATAATATTGGATGTTTTTCTCACATGATTATTATATATTAATAATTATAATGTATTGGATGTTTTTCTCACATTATTATATATTAATAATTATAATACATTGGATATTATTCTCATATACATATGTATTTATACATACACACACACACACATATATATATATATATATATATATATATATATATATATATATATATATATATATATATATATATATATATATATATATATATATATATAGAGAGAGAGAGAGAGAGAGAGAGAGAGAGAGAGAGAGAGAGAGAGTGAGAGTGAGTAACGGTAATTCTCGGAGATCGTGCATACCGGGAAAAAAAAAAACAAGGACACTCTATATATTATTACTTAAAATACACACATACGTTTAAAAAATACAATGTTTAGTATGTCATATTGACGATAAATGCAAACTGATGTACAGTGCATTATAACTGTATCATCGGTTGAGAATGTATTGATTTTCCATTTGACTGCTACAGTTATTCTGGCCTTCCTACTCACTTGCTGCCATCATATCGATATTATTTCATTTTTTCTCTGTTAGTCTTTTCTTTGGTTGGTAAACCAACATATAAATATATTGAGGAACAATTAATCCATATGAATCTGAGTTATTTTTATATATTTTTTATACCCTAATGTTACATATCTCCATCTGTTTTTTTTCTCTCTCTCTCTAAGATGCATGATATTACAATATAAATCTGGCCTTGTTATCCCTTGGATTTTGTTTTTTTTTTTTTTTCTTTGGGATAAACCAACATATAATATACTCAGGAACAATTAATCCATATGAATCTGATTTTCTTTATTTTTTATACCCTAATGTTACATATCTCCATTTGTTTTTTTTTCTCTCTAAGATGCATGATGTTACAACATAAATAACTATAAACCAATATATTTATGTAAATCAGTATTTATCTACTATCTATCTTCTCACTAAGGTCTGTAAACTAATTTGTAACACAACTGGCGAATAATGAATGGGATAGAATATTTTCTAATATTTGTTCTTTTATCCCCCACAGGATTTCACATTTTTTTATCACTCTGGCCTCGTTATCCTTGCTGCCATCATCTCGATATTAATTTATTTTTTTCTCTGTTAGTTTTTTCTTTAGGTTGGTAAACCAACATATAATATATTCAGGAACAATTAATCCATATTAATCTGAGTTATTTTCTCTATTTTCTATACCCTAATGTACATATCTCCATTTGTTTTTTCTCTCTAAGATGCACGATGTTACAATATAAATAACTATAAACCAATATATTTATGTAAACCAGTAATTATCTACTTATCTATCTTCTCACTAAGGTCTGTAAACTAATTTGTAACATAACTGGAGAATAATGAATGGGATAGAATATTTTCTAATATTTGTTCTTTTATCCCCCATATGATTTCACTTTTTTTTATCGCTCTGGCCTTGTTATCCCTTGCTGCCATCATCTCGATATTATTTCATTTTTTTCTTTGTTAATCTTTTCTTTGGGTTGGTAAACCAACATATAATATACTCAGGAACAATTAATCCATATGAATCTGAGTTATTTTCTTTATTTTTTATACCCTAATGTTACATATCTCCATTTGTTTTTTTCTCTCTAATGCATGATGTTACAACATAAATAACTATAAACCAATATATTTATGTAAATCAGTATTTATCTACTATCTATCTTCTCACTAAGGTCTGTAAACTAATTTGTAACAACTGGCGAATAATGAATGGGATAGAATATTTTCTAATATTTGTTCTTTTATCCCCCACAGGATTTCACATTTTTTTATCACTCTGGCCTCGTTATCCTTGCTGCCATCATCTCGATATTAATTTATTTTTTTCTCTGTTAGTTTTTTCTTTAGGTTGGTAAACCAACATATAATATATTCAGGAACAATTAATCCATATTAATCTGAGTTATTTTCTCTATTTTCTATACCCTAATGTCACATATCTCCATTTGTTTTTTTCTATCTAAGATGCACGATGTTACAATATAAATAACTATAAACCAATATATTTATGTAAACCAGTAATTATCTACTTATCTATCTTCTCACTAAGGTCTGTAAACTAATTTGTAACACAACTGGCGAATAATGAATGGGATAGAATATTTTCTAATATTTGTTCTTTTATCCCCATATGATTTCACTTTTTTTTTATCGCTCTGGCCTCGTTATCCCTTGCTGCCATCATCTCGATACTAAATTATTTTTTTTCTCTGTTAGTTTTTTCTATAGGTTGGTAAACCAACATATAATATACTCAGGAACAATTAATCCATATTAATCTGAGTTATTTTCTATATTTTTTATACCCTAATGTTACATATCTCCATTTGTTTCTTTCTCTCTAAGATGCATGATGTTACAATATAAATAACTATAAACCAATACTTTTATATGTAAACTAGCATCTATTCTCTCATTAGGTTCTATAAACTAAATTGAAACACAGCTGGAATGATAAAAAAAGGATAGGTGTATTATGAATATATTATTAAGAATAATCGTTTACTCCCAACAAACTTTATTTTCTGTATCTCTGACGTCATCACTCTGGAATGCGTGTGCTACAATACCATTGAAGGAGAGGCTGATCTCCGCCCTTTTTCTACTTATAATAGTATAGATATATGTTAAATTGTTCAATATTGACAAGCAAATATAAGGTAAAAAGAGTATTTATCGAAATATCGTATATATGAATCTGTATCCTGAGAGATCGATGACGCACGATCTTCCGAGAATTACCGTTACACTTTCGCTTTCGCTTTTTTCTCTCGTTAGACAACTAAAGAAGACGGTGTTTTATCTTCAGAATTCACAGGACATGTTTTATGTAAAATAAATGATAGGTGTATTATAAATACAGTCGTTTACTACCAACAAACCGTTATTTTCTGTATCTCTGACGTCATGCGTGTGACGTCATTACTGTGGAATGCATGTGCTACATTATCATTGAAGGAGAGGTTGATCTCCGCTCTTTTTCTACTCATAATATGTATAGAAACATGTTAAATTGTTCAATATTGACAAATAAATATAATGTAAAAAGAGTATTTATCGAAATATCGTATATATGAATCTGTATCCTGAGAGATCGATGACGCACGATCTCCGAGAATTACCGTTACACTTTCGCTTTCACTTTCGCTTTTTTCTCTCGTTAAACAACTAAAAAAGACGGTGTTTTATATTCAGAATTCACAGGACATGTTCTATGTAAAAATAAAAGATAGGTGTATTATGAATATAGTCGTTTACTCCCAACAAACCGCTATTTTCTGTATCTCTGACGTCAGCACTCTGGAATGCGTGTGACGTCATTACTCTGGAATGCATGTGCTACATTATCATTGAAGGAGAGGTTGATCTCCGCTCTTTTTCTACTCATAATATGTATAGAAACATGTTAAATTGTTCAATATTGACAAGTAAATATAATGTAAAAAGAGTATTTATCGAAACATCGCATATATGAATCTGTATTCTGAGAGGTTGAATACATACGATCTCCGAGAAATTACCGCTACTTTCGCTTTTTTCTCTCATTAGTCAACTAAATAAGACGGTGTTTTACATGTTTTGTGTATGTTGTAAGTGGAATGGGCGAAGATTGATCTTTCCTTGAGAAATGCGACTCAAAGGTTAGATAAAAACGGGTCTTTCGAAGTATACCCTGTAACATAAGAAAACGTACGAAATACATTACTGAAAACTGTAAAAGCTATAGGTTATACTACGAAAAACCCGTTTTATAAAAAGAAGCCGATCTCTTGGATTGATGAACTAACATGCAACTGAATATTTATGATGATAGAGTTCATAACAGCTGACTTTGTATTATTGTATAGTTACTATGGTCTTTCTTTTTTTTTTTAATTCTCCTTTACTTATCGCTTTATAAATGATTAAAGAAAACAAAATAACAGTAACAACTCGATATATTTGTATATGAATAAGTCTATAATAATAATAATTCTAACTTAACAACGTATATAATAATAAGATTAACTCTAACTCGATATATTTGTATATGAATAATTCTTATCTATATGTTTATAATAAGAATAATAATAATTCTAACTTAATAATACATACCATAACTAATATTAACTCGATATATTTGTATATGAATAAGTCTTATCTATATGTTTATAATAAGAATAATAATAATTCTAACTTAATAATACATACCATAACTAATATTAACTCGATATATTTGTATATGAATAAGTTATCTATATGTTTATAATAAGAATAATAATAATTCTAACTTAATAATACATACCATAACTAATATTAACTCGATATATTTGTATATGAATAAGTCTTATCTATATGTTTATAATAAGAATAATAATAATTCTAACTTAATAATACATACCATAACTAATATTAACTCGATATATTTGTATATGAATAAGTCTTATCTATATGTTTATAATAAGAATAATAATAATTCTAACTTAATAATACATACCATAACTAACATATATATATATATATATATATATATATATATATATATATATATATATATATATATATATATATATATATATATATCCTAAATCGTTCTCCTTCTTTGCAGACATCTCTGGGATGATGATCTTACTGGTTCAATGTAGAATCAGATATCGTCGACATTCTCGTGTAATTCATATTGTGAACCTAAAGAATAAATTCTATTATAAAACATAGATGATATATATATATATATATATATATATATATATATATATATATATATATATATATATATATATAGTAGAATGAAAATATACTCTTATATCATCAAGAGTATAAATACAAATTTATCTCATGCAATTACCCCCCCTTCCTTTAATATTACCTCCATGATAAATTCTTCACCCTTCACCATCCTAAGATACGAACAATATGGGTTCCATAAAGCATGCTGATTCCATGGTATGTCATCCTCTGTCCATTTCTCTAAGCTTATTCCACACTGAAAGCATTGAACCAGGTCGTGTAACTCTAAAAAAAAAAACATAGGTATTAGTTTACATATACATACATATATATATATATATATATATATATATATATATATATATATATATATATATATATATATATATATATATATATATAATATACATATATACGTGTGTTATTATAATAATATAATATAATATAAATACCTAAAGTTTTTGCTGGTCGTAAAAATCCTGCCTCTGCTAAATCAACAGCTTTTGGTATCTTTTTATCTCTTGGCCAGTTCATGAATGATTCCATTCGCTGTCGATGCATCACAAAGTTCACATGCACCGGTTCAGTGTTATTGGACCGGATGACTAAAAAAAAGAACAATAATTACAACATATAATCAACATATGAATATAACCACTATATATAGAAACTAACATAACAGCATGTGCTATAGTTACCTTTAGTTAAGGAGAAGGTGCTGCTCATGAGAGGTACGTTTCCTACGTTCTTATCTAAAACGTATTTACAGAGTGGAAAGAGACGAGAATGTTCCATTTCTGCATCAGGTTTAGATCTCCAACACCTCACTGTTCCTCTACAAAAAGCACAGACACAACAATCACTCTTTCCCGTATAACAGAATCCCTCCTTAGCCAAAGGAGCCGGGTCTATTTCACAGTAGGGCCATTCTCCATTTTTAAACGTTTCTAGACGTTTATATTCAAATTGTAATTCGTTATCTATGGTAACCATTATAGTGTCTCTCTCTATCTATCTTTGAATATTAATAATATTATCAGAGATTCCTTTATAATGTGATGTGATGAATATCCCACAGTCGCTCACTATATGTAACAAATCTAAAAATAAATATATCATAATCGCCCATATTATATAACAAATTCTAGGAACAGAATGGTGAATTTTAGCTACTAAACCTTTTTTGTGCTATATCCTTTTTAAGTTCTAGGTGATCATTTTTTAGACCCTCTGTCGTAGTGTTAAATTCCGTATTCCAAGATTCTTGTCTGGAGTGATGAGGAGGTGTATTTGATTCCATCGTTCATCATTCTTTCTTTTTATCTTTTCTTTATCTTGTCAGTCTAGAACAATATATTCAATTAATCTTTGATACTCGTATTGACTATGGTATATATAATTATAACACCCAACTGGAAATATTAATTAAAAAATGTCTCATTTCTATAGGAGGATAGGATTTAAATATTTTCCTTTTACTATATAATGTGCTTATAATAACTTATCGTCGAGACAGAGAGGGAGAGGAGGAACATTGTTATTATTGCTATTATGTATTGGGTAAAAAAAAAGAGTAAACAAATTATCAAGTGATACAAAAGTAAATGTGAACATTTTTTTTATTTATTTAACATACATGTGAATATATACTTGAAGAAAAAAAAAAATATTATAGAAATCACCGAAATGGTATTTGAATATTCAAAATTTATAAGAAAAACTTGTGAAGAATATCCTTACCATGTTAGCTACAATAACAAACCAGTGCTAATAAGAATGCCGCTAATAAAGAAATTCGCTGTAATGCAATCAGGTGGTCTGTAAAAAACAACTTTGAAAACGCTATAGCATATTTGTTAGGAAAAAGTAATCATTTTATTAAAGGGGTTCATGCACCCAATCACGTATTTTTTTCTGATAGTGACACTGTAAATGTTAGTATATTTGTCTATACTAACCCATATTACTTACAAGAGCAGCAAATTTTGAATTCTGTGGCCACTAATCCAGATCCTGTTAATCCAAATGCGGTTCAGGTGCAACAGCCGGGATCAGTAGCAATACCCATAGGAAGTCCTGTATAGTAATATGATGAATATTTTATTTGTCATGTTAACTAATTATTATATTCCCAAACGAGATGATGAAGAGGAACGATTAAAATATTATAGAATTTTACAATAAAACATAAGAAGTCTCTGTATGCAGAAATTATAACATATGCTTAATCAATTCGATATTATCATCATCGTCACCGTTTGGTAATTTGCGTGAACGCGAGTGTATTATAAGGTAAAGAAAGATTCGGTTAAAGTGTCTTCAAGCATCGAGGCAAGTTTGTCATCCTAACCTTTCTCTACGAACAACGTTTGTATTGGACGGACGAAGAATTGCACAACTTGTTTGACTCCGACATAATAATAGATATCGTGTATTATGTTACACGTAGTATTAATGGTTTATGTATGCTCTTTCGAGTGAATTACAAATCCAGACACTTATATGTGGAAATTCTTTACTTTGAAGAAACACAGATGCAGAAGAGCAGTGTCATAGTGACCTACAGTGTTCAGCGATTCCTCGACCACATAGTGTCTAATTACGATCACAAGGATATGTACTCATAGTCTTCGATAAATGGGAGGGCGGTAACATTGACGCTATAAAGAGATCATGGAGCCACCTGTCGTCGTTGCAACAGCTCTGTCGGGGAGTCGTCTCCGCTAACAGAGAGACGCTCTGGAACGACTCCACGCAGATGGACATACCGGTATTGGTCG